TGTCATTTCAGATCGCGGAGCTGGGATCAAAGCAGCAATGGAGTCTTTGGGTCCAATGTGGCAACCACCCTTTGTCCAACATAGGTATTGTCTCCGACACATTGCTGCGAACTATCATGGAAGGTACAAGAAGAATGATGAGCGAAAATTAATTGTGCGCATGGGTAAGTGAAAAGCAAGTTATTAAGTTATACATTTTTTGATCATTTTAATTTTGCAAAGAAAGCAAGTTAGTAAGTTATACATTTTTTTATTAGGTTACGAACTAATTCCTCGAACATTTGAATCAATGCTTCAAGATTTGCGGCGAAGAACGAGGAAGGATATGATTACATCAACCTCATCGATAAAAAATGTGGACGAACATATGATTATGGATATCGATATGGACACATGACGACCAACTTGGCTGAGGCAATCAATTCAACCTTAAAGGGTGCACGTCACTTACCTGTAGCGGCTTTGGTAAAAACTACATATTTTCGTTTGGGAGCACTTTTTGCGAAGCTCGGGGGACAAGCTCAAACCTGGATGCAAGGCGGTCATGTCTATCACCCTAGATTAGTTGCAGATATACAAAAAAAATTGCTGCATCAAATGGAATGTCTGTAACAATCTTCTCTAGAAGGCATGAAATGTTTCGTGTCACAGAGTTGCCGCGACCTCTTCAAGGGATTGAAGCTGTGTCATTAAGAGTAAATCTAAGGGACAGAACGTGCAACTGCTGGTTTTTTCAAGCTCTGAAGTATCCATGCTCTCATGTGATAGCAGCTTGCTCGCACACACGTCAAAACTATAACCATTTTGTGGATCCGTATACCTACAATCTGAAGTTTTTAAGGTATATGAATTTGAGTTTCCCCCATAGGTAATGACAAAGACCCTGATGAGGTTCAAGATTGGCTTTCGATTGTACCAAATCCAAGTTTATTGAGGGAGCGTGGTCGTCTAAAATCCAATCGAATTCATTACGATATGGATATTCGAGAAAGATCTAGACAAGACAGAAAATGTGGCATTGTAGAAACCCAGGACACACGAGAAAAACATGTCCACTTCTTTCATCAAGTAACAATTGATGAAGGAATGATGTATTTGTTTATCAAATAATAATTCTTGTACTTTAATTTTCATTTACTTCAAGTTAATGATAACCAAATTGGTATTTGAATATAATTTTAAATATAACAAACTTACAATAAGTATTAAATGGTAAATGATAACCAAATTACAATAACTGATATTAAATGGTAATAAACAAAATTAACTGAAATACATTAAAAAAAGTCCAACAAATTTAACAAAATAAAGTAAGTATTAAATGAGAAATAATAAAAAAATCAATTTAACAAAATAAAGTAAATACAAATATAATAAAAAAAATCTATCGATGCCTACGACGCGAATGTGTTCCGCAGGGCGGTGGCTGTCGGTCTCGAGGAGATTTCTTCGTATCACTGGTTCTGACTCCTCGCTGTCATCATCATCACCATCGTCGTCGTCGTCGTCCTGAGCAGATACATTAGGTTGATGAAGAGCTGATGACGATGAAGCACCTCCATAGAATAAGGACCCTGGAGGTGTATGCCTGACTATCCCACCGGCCTTCGAAAACTGGGAAAATTGGGAAAACCCAGACATCGCTGAGTGTGAAAACTGTACAGGAGGTGTCTGTGCTGCGGCCATGGGTGATGGGTTGAACCCGCCAAATATCTAGCATATGAACCCTAAGTCGAATCTACAAAAATAGACCCATAATAGCCTCTAGGAGGGGTCATCTATGACAGTGGCGGCGGCGGGTCATAAAACCAGGTGAAGGCGGCGGCAACGGCATCTGGTAATGGAAAGGCGATGGTGACATCATATATGGCTGTAACATCATAAATGGTTGCGGTGGCTGCTGTGAAGGTCCTGCTGGTGCAGCTGAGGATGAACCGGAAGCACCTGCTCTCCGTCCACGAGTCGGGGGACAATGGTGCTGTGTCGGTGAACGTCTCTGTCGACGTCGTGGAAAGGTCTGCCCTCGTGCATCCTCGGGAAGTAGAAACTGTTTCCCGTTACTGTTGAACCACTCATAATAATCCTCAGCATACATCAAGAAGTCAGTAAAAATGGTCTCTCTACGTGGAAGGCGCCGATGTCGATCCTCCCATAACACGACCCACTCATGATGCCTCACTAGCCAATCTGTATCTGTCTTGCCGCGTCTATCTAAGCTATGCAACTCGTTCATATTGCGATGTGCTTCCGGAATTGGTTGAAAACAACCAAAATGCCGGAGCACGCGATCAGTGGAGTGCCACTCGATGATCGTATAAGAGATCAGAGGGACCATCTCCATCCAAACATCTAATGGACCCCTCAACTCAGGTGGGATTACCGCCCTCACATCATCAGTAGAATATGTCACTCATTCAAACTAAAACAAATAATATATAATTTTTATCAAAATAATAATTTAATTATATAACTATAATCTAAAATCGATTTTTAAACATTAAAATTCATACATGTGTGCCAGCCTTCTGATCGATTAGCACCCTAATTTTTTCTAAATCATCAGGTAGCTCCTGATGATTTTTCCTATCAGTAGACCACCTATTCAAGGAAAAAAATTTATTATACGATGTATAAAATTATTAATATACAAAATTAGTTTTATAATTACCTCATAAGTAGTGGAAATACGAATGGGTTCTTCACAACGGGACATAAAAAGGGCAATCGATACCATGCCCAAGACTGCAGCAGCAGGAGACATCCGCCGATAGCATTACGCCTGTAGTCAGTGGCTCCACACATCTCCCTGTATAGCAAAGCCAAAACTGCCGAGCCCCAACTGAATGATCCGGCGAGACGAAAGTCGCTAAGATGTCTCAACCACATGCAGTGAACTAGGTTGCGCGATTTGTCCGGCATCAGCAACCCTCCTATCAGCTGCAATATGCATGTCTGTGCATACATCTTAACCTCATCCTCAGAGGCGTCTGCGCTCAACTCCCAAAAATTGGCGTTAACCAATTTAACGGTATCCTACCTCCGATAAAATTTTCCGGGACACGTCCTAGACTATCCAGACACAAAGTAGTCCAAGAACCGGAAGCTATCCCTGATATCACATCTCCATCCACCGAAAGCCCCAGGTGCATAGAAACATCCTCAAGCGTGATCGTGCACTCTCCGCACGGAAGATGGAATGTGTGGGTCTCCGGCCTCCACCGCTCTACTAAGGAAGAAATCAAGTCTGGCTCTATCTTACAGTGACCATGATATCTACCTATGTAACTGAATCCAGCCTTTACTAAATACAACAAGACACGCCTGGATATCACTAACTTAAGATTCCTAATAAAAGGATCTAATACACGGTCCTTCTCCTAAAAATAAATAATTACAAAAATTAATTCTTAATCTAATAATCATGCATTAAATAAATCAACTAATTATTACTAATAATTTAAATTAAATTAAAACGTTAAAATGTTACCGTATCAGCAAAGTGTCGAGATATTTAATTCTTAATCTAATAATCATGCATTAAATAAATCAACTAATTATTACTAATAATTTAAATTAAATTAAAACATTAAAATGTTACTGTATCAGCAAAGTGTAGAGATATATGATTTCCATCCGAGCGAAGTAGATTGCCTTCCATTATATATCTGCAAAAGAATTATATTACTAAAATATTAAATAAAGTAAAATACTTAAATTAAATACATAATATTAAAAATATTATAAAATATACCTTAAAAAGAGAGAGTATTTGAGAGAATTTGGTGTGATAAAAGTGATTGTGGATGAGATATTTATAGGGAGGATTGGGATGTGGACGGGCGGGTATTTAGGGGTATAGCGTGCCCCCTGCACCGCGCTATACCCCACATGTCAGATAACCGTATAGCGCGGATCAGGGGGCACGCTATACCCACGAGGCGTCAAATCACCGTATATCGCGGGGCAGGGGTGCGCTATACTCCACGTTGCGCCAAATCAGCGTATAGCGCGGTGCAGGGGCGCGCTTTACTGCTACGGGTGTTAGATCGGGAAATATACCGATCACCTGTGATTTTTTTGAAAAAACACTTCATCTTTCTCCCTAATTCTTTTTTCCTCTATTTTTGTTATCTGAAAATGTAGAGATTATTTGATTTCCAATTTAGAAAACCAAAACTAATTTCAGTTTTACCAGGTGCATAAATCGCCATCTTGCTCCCGTAAGTTTTAAAAGAGTTCCAGGTGATTTTTTTGTTTAATTCCTTTGTACCTGCCTTCTTTTCAATCATTAATTTGAAAGATAAAAAAATTAGATAGAAATTGACGTCAATAATTCAAGATTTCATGTTTAATCATCAAACAATGTTCAAGTTCATTGGATTTTGGGAATAGATTCTTGAGTTTCTTTTTGGGATACTAACGATACGTGCATTGATTTTTTTCTATGACGCCATTAAATTTTGAATCATTGATTTAGATTTAAACGACTTGTAATTTTTATATTATTTATAATGGTTTCGAGTAAATTAAAAATGTCTTAACTATTTTTTCTATGTAAAAGATTTTAACTTCTAGATATATAAAAAAGATAATATTCTTCATTGGCATTATATAAATATTTGATTGACATTACATACATATTAGATCGATTTGAAATTTAACATGCTCTATGAATGCAATTATATAAATAAATATTATCGCATATTAAGTTTAAATTAGCATCACGCTTTGTAATTTGATATATATGTGTATCATCATTTGAGAAATTGATCTGAATACTGGAAACTGTTTGAATGGTTCTCAATATGGATTTCAGCTGTAGATTTTTATTTGCAGTGGAATGTAAATGTAGCTATCTTTTTTTATTTTTTTAATCATGAATGATGGACTTTATGTTGCTATAACTGAACTGTTTTTGTAATCTTTTAATTGCTGAACATGTAAAAAAAATTAAATATGCAGTGTGCTGGCTCTGGCTACTGCTGCTAAATTTGAATCTTATGGAGCTTGATAATACAAAGGAAAATAGTGTAAGCACGCCTAGGAGAAGAGAAAACGGTCTTCATCTCAGTCCAGTTTCACCGGATGCATCGCTTGGCTTGCTGTATGCTCCAGAGGATTGGCCTAATAAGGGTGACATATGGACTTGGAAGGTGGGAAGGAGAGTAGCCATTACTGGTCATTTCTTAGATAGGTATTTGTATCCTCCAAAGCGCCTCCAAAAGCTTTTAGACTCGGGCAGGAAACGTGGTCTTGCTAACAAGCTTTCAGTCGAGCGGTATGTCAAAATGGTGCTCCCTGGTGCAGACATTAATGCATTTTTTGCTTCGTTCAGGTGGAAAATCCCTGCGAAGAAACATTCTTTGACAAATGGTCAGCACCAATAACTCTGTTCATTTTCTTCCAGTCTATTGTCTCCATGTTTTCATTTCAGTTTCTGTAATTATTTATGTGGTTAGCTACATTAACTTCTGCATTTTTTTAAACATGTATACTGTCAGTGCTTCAGTCCTTTGTTCTCAGTAAATATGATCAAATTCAGTCTTTCAGTTATTTAGCCTTTTTGGTCAGAACAATGGTTCTCTGCTATATTTATTAAACCCTATACTTATAGTATGATTCTCTCAGACAATCATGCGTAAAGTTGGTCACATGTCGCCTCTGCCTGATTGCATAATAGGCAAATCACCAATTCCTTGTGTCCCATTCTGGTGTCTAATTCTTGGAGGCAGCTTCTAAGTTCTAACAGATCCATCCAGGAGATCAGAGCATGTTTAGTTTTGTGAAATTATTCAGACTAGCCTGCGCCTATTTGCTTTTTCTTGTTTGTCTTATTTCATCCCATACTGAATGAATTGAATAGTTTCCATGATTTCTTCCAGCCCCATTTTAGACCTCTGCAAACTAGTTATATGTCTTACACTATTACACTAGTATAAGAGTGCACCCAAGCCACCCAGAGTAAACAAACCTGGGTGAACAAAGCCATAGGTTCGAAAGAAAATTATTTTTCATTGTTTCTTTGTAGGAGGGAAAAACGGGAAGAAAGAAATATGAAAATCGATTATTTGCACTCGTATTCACAAAAATAAATCATCCTGAATAGAACAGACAAGGAAAAATGAGTCAAATATTGCATATTTATAAGATTTTGCATTCTTGTCTTAACTTACAAAGGTTATAATGATAGTAATTTTTATCATCTTTCATTTTTTTTTCACACCATCAATGTTTGATGGAATATGGATATTCGCAATGTCTAGTTCTAACTATGAAACTTAATTTCTTTTTTTTCCAACTACCTTTTTTTTTGGTTAATGAATAATGCAGTGGCACAGGCTTTCTCTGTTGCCCCTCCTGACGAGAAGGTAGTTCCAGTGTCTGACCCCCAGTCTGATGGTTTGACATGCAAGGCCGGGAATAAGAAGTGTAGCAGTTATATGCT